TACAAGCAACACAAGAAAAAAGCGCAAGGACACTCGACCTGGGAATAAACAATTTGTCCCTAAAGCATACAAGCAACACAAGAAAAAAGCGCAAGAACACTCGTCCTGGGAAAAACAAAAAGAGCCGGGCCGGGGCCGGCTCTCCACACCCTGCCTGTGGTCCGGCTCGGCGGCGGCCGGAGAGCAGTGTAGTACACCGCGAGGCACAACGCTTCAGCTGCGGGCGGGGCGGGCGGCCGTCGCGCACCTCGAGGGCAGCTGAGGCCTTCTGCAGCTGCGCGGCGGCGGCGCGACTCTCCGTTCAGCTCATCTGCGCCTTGATCTCCTTGCCTCTGCTGGGGGCGGCTCGGGGGCGGCGCCGCCTCCTCGTCCACAAAGTCCACGGCCGGCGGCAGCAGCGGCTCGCAGGTCGACGGCACCACCCCCGAGACCATCCAGCAGCGGCTGCGCTCCGGGGCCGACCGGCTCAAGACGCGGCTGTCGGGCATCAGCCGGCCCAAGATGCCGGCCGTGCGCAGGCCCAAGTTCACCATGCCGGACAAGGCCAAGTTCCACCTGCCCAGCCTGCCCAGCCTGGGGCGGGGGAGCTCGGCCTCGGCGGCCGCAGACGCGGAGGCAGCTCCGGAGGACCCCGCGGCGGCGGCGGGGCAGCAGACGCCGACCCCCAAGAAGCAGTCCGCGAGCAGCAAGCGGCCGCTCAAGGGCAGGCAGTACAGCACCGAGTCCACGGCGGGCTCCTCGGAGAAGCGCCGCCCGCTCTTCGACCTTAACACGTTCCGGACGTACCCGCGCATGTTCCGGCGGAACAGGGCGGAGCGCGCCAGCGGCGGTGGAGGCGGCGGTGGAGGCGGCGGTGGAGGCGGCGGCGACTCGTCCTCCTCGCCCCGGTCGGCGCGCTCCACGCGGCCCATGACGCCGCCCGCGCGCTCCAGCTTCAGCAGCGACACCGGCAAGTGGATGCGGCGCTTCTCCGACGCCTGGTACGGCGCGGGCGACCCCGTGGTGGCCGCCATCAACTACGCCGACCACCACCACACGCCGCCGCCCCTCAACTCCCAGGAGAGCGTTTGGCAGCAGCAGCAGCAACAGCAGTGGCGGCAGGAGGAGGAGCGGCAGCAGGAGCGCCAGCAGCAGCGGCGGCAGCAGCCCGCGTACCTCGCGCCGACCGGCAACGGCGAGCAGATGGTGTACCACATCTCGCTGCACGGCTCGGACTCGGAGCCCGATTACAGCGACGACCAGTTCCAGGGGCCTCCCTATCCGGAAGTCCTTCCCATCGACGGCGACCCGGAGATCGTGGACCACGCGGCGCGCAAGGCGCTCGCCCAGGCCAAGGCCGCCGCCGACAGGGAGGCGGCCTTCCAGGCCCAGCTCAAGGCGGAGCGCGAGGCGGAGGAGTCGGCCGCTCAGATGTAAGTCACCGGCCTGCAGGCTGGAGGTAGGCCGCCGGGGCCGCGCCGCGCACCGCTGCGCAGCGGGTTGCCTACCGCGCCTCTGGCGGGCGCTGGAGGTTCACAGCG